TTAGAGAACTGCATTCATGTTAAAATTGTTAATACTATAGAGACTTGAGACATATAATAATTTTCATTCGTATGACTTCGAAACAAGCTTATAATTTTCGGAACAGGCATTAATAATTGTTTTAATAAATATACAAGGTATTTCTCCCGCCTTCTTAGCGTGTCTTCGTAGTGTAGTGATCAGCACTCTCGTCGCCTATTTGAGAGGCCCGGGTTCGAGTCCCGGCGGCACATTTTTCCTCTCTCCTGCTTCGAAATATCCTAATGTCTCTACAGTGGAGCCCGAACTAAAAGGTGATGAATGATTATTCTTCACCACCAGGATTTGACGATTGGATCCCCTAATCCCTAGTCGCTCTATCTCTGCCCTAAATATGCAATCTCTGCCTGTCTCACCCTCTTTGTGATTGTGAAATTCTAGTCTTAAATGAATTAGCAGTAAAAGACAGAGAAAACTTTACGAAAGTTTAAAAAAAATCGATTTCTTTGAAAAAATTAAAATAAATAAAGAAAAGCAAAACTGACAGCATCTTTGTGATGGTTGCTGATATACACGACGGAAAATACTCATAACAGCACTTTTGCTTTTATTTATGAAACACTTTTGCTTTTATTTATGATGTCTTGCACTCAGAGACGTGAAATTCCGAAACATTTATTAAAATTTACTGATAAATAAGTCAAAATCTATTTATTTAGACCCCATCATCCATAATTCAAGGAAAAAATTTTTCATTTTATAAGGTATTTCTCGGGTCTTCTTAGCATGCCTTCCTGGTGTAATGGTCAGCATAGTCGGCGCGTATCGAGAGGTCCAAGGTTCGAGTCCCGTCGAGGGCATTGCTCATTTATCGTATCTCCTGCTTCGAAATAACCTAATGTCTCTACAGTGGCGCCCGAACTAAAAAAGGTGATGGATGATGATTCTACAGCACCAGGATTAGGAGATTGGGTCCCCCAATCCCCAGTCGCTTCTTAAAAGGGGAAGTATATAAGGTACTTTTATCGCCTTCTTAGCATTCCTTCGTGGTGCAGTGGTCAGCACGCTCGACCCGAATTCGAGAGGTCCGTAGTTCGATTCCTTGCGTGGGCATTGCTCATTTTTCCCGTCTTATGTTTCCGAAAAGTCCTAATATCTCTACAAATATATTTTAATTTTATTAATTATTTAAATTCATAAATATTAAATTTCCTGCATATTTATTATTCCTGTGAAATCCCGTTATCTGTCCATTGCACGAAAATTTGAATCAAGACAAAAGTACATGATATTTTTTGTCGACTCGAAGTCAAGACACTTATTACCCAAATGTGCTTCAATTTTACTCCATCTAAAACAGATCAATAATCGCTGAACGAAAGCTTAAAAAACAATCATTTTTTTTGAAAAAAATTAAAATAAATAAAGAAAAGCAAAACTGACAGCATCTTTGTGATGGTTGCCGATATACACGACGGAAAATACTCATAACAGCACTTTTACTTTTATTTATGAAATGAAAAGTATATTCTACAACCAAAGTTTGTAAAGCCATTAGGTTTATTTCGAAAAAAAAAAATTGCAATGCCCTAGTCGGATTTTAAACTCTGGATCTTCCGATGCTAGCCTGACCTGTTTTCTAGTTACACCACGAAGGCACGGGGTAAGAAGGAAAAAACTACATGCAAGTTAAAAGAAGGTAAAAAAGCTGATTTGACATAAAACATCAGTTCAAATTTCACTCACAATTCAGTAGCAGGGAAATCTAACTGAGAGACAGATCAGCGATAGCTGATAAAGTCTCTCTCCCGAGCTCAAGAACAAGATGATACTTATATACGTTAAAATAATTATTTATACATTTAAATTAATTTGCATCCTTGTGGGAGTTGACGAAATTGGAAAGGAATGTAGTGGCACAATAATAACATAACTGTGTTAATTAGCCTAAACCCTACAACTATTTAATGTTTTTCTATACAGAGAGTGTAATCATTCGTAGAAAATAATGACTGGATTTACAGTATAGTATAATTCGGATGTTAAGTTACAATTTCTATAAACTTAGTGCAAAATTTTTGTGTTTACTTTATAAAACTTGACCAATGTAACTCTACATTACTGCAATTAAAGAGCGTTATTAGAAGAGATCTATTTACCTCACTTGGAAATACGTTTGAAAATTAAAATTTAATAGTATTTGCATTTTAAGAAACAGTAGGAGCTAATTTACTATGCATTTGTTAGTTACAATCATTTCTGTTGAAATTTTTCTAAATTGCATTTTTAAAGGTTTAAGATTTACATAGATGGGGACTGAGTTTGTATTCCTTGGTACACAATTAAATTACTAGACAATTCCCATACTAGTCAAACCTTAGGCTATCTTCTACTTATTCCTTATAGAATAGGTACTCTTACAACTTAATTTCCAGCAAATAGACGTTCTTTAATTCCAGTAACGTGCAATAAAATTATTTATAGAAGAATTCTTTGACTTGAGAAAATTATCAAAAACTGTTAAGGCGTAATGAGTAACACATGGATATTGACTGACGAATTGTCATTCAATGGATATTGAATGACGAATTTGGCAAAACAAATCCGAAGCATTGATGCATGTAAATCAAATTTTATTGCTGGATGATTTATGTTGGTATTTCAGTGTTATCAAAGAGAACTGGTTCATTTAGCTGTGTTTTTAATATTTTAATTTAAATGTCATTTGTATAAATTATGAAATGAAGAAAAAATAAGCAATTTTGTTTCAATTGCTTATTTGAATTGTGTATCACAATATTAATCAGTTTATGAAATGGTTCTCATTAAATATTACTAAGTTCAGCATGGAGTTGAATCTTTGCAGTCCTCAGAAATGATAACGGTTGCCAATCTTTATAGCCCATGTTACTTAACGTAAAACTCTTAAGCTTGCAGGTACAAATATTAATCCTTATCAGCAGCAAATTTTTGGATTAAGGACTCTAATGAAAATTATAATTTCCAGCATGTAACATTCTTTAAGCACATAATGTAAACTTACATTCTTACTTTAAAATTTATGTTAAAGGCAGTTCGATGAAAAGGTAACTCTCCGTTAATGTTGCTGATTAACTGAAGAAACGAAAAAGAGTTAAAATAAGAGTTTTTATGGAAAATATTATGCTTGCAATTTTTTACTGCTTTTCTTTTTCTATAAATTTCAAAAAGGCATTCAAAACGATGATTTGATGAAGTTTGTTACCCTGAACGTAAAATCTGAAAAAATACACTTCTTTCTCCGAAGAACAAAGTTAGGCTTTACGAAGTGAAATTAAGTTAAATTTGAAGTGAGGTCATGACTACCATTCTAATATGACTCCCTAATGTCTACTTCTCAATTTAAAATTATAATCATTGCTATATTTACAGTAAGTGATTGTAATTGTTATTGTCTTGTCCAAACGTTAGTGCAGAAAGCACAGATAGAGCCAAAACTATCTGAAACAGCCTTAGCGACGTCAACGATCTTCGAAGAATCTAGGAGCTGGCCCTGTGGGCAAAATCAGGTTTGAAGAGCCTGTCCAGTACAGCAGGACAGTTCTTGAAACAGAGTTACTATTATAAGGTATTTCTCCCACCTTCTTAGCATGTCTTCGTGATGTAATGGCCCGCACACTCGGCGGGTATTCGACAGTTCGTGGCTCGAGTCCCGGCGTGGTCATTGTTCATTTTTCATCTCTTCTGCTTCAAAAAAATCCTGATGACTCTACACTGGCGCCTGAAATAGAAAAGGTGGCGGAAGATGACTCTCCATCGCCGGGATTCTGCAGCTGAGTCCCCTAATTCCAAACTGCCGTTGAAAAGGGAGAGTATATAAGGTCTTTCTCCCGTCTTCTAGCATGCCTTCGTAGTGTAACAGGAAGCATACTCGACGCGTATTCGAGAGGCCCGAGGTTCGAGTCCCGGCGAGAGCATTGCTCATTTTTCAGGTCTCATGCTTCAAAAATACCTAATGTCTCTACACTATCTCTGGATTTTAGTCGTAAAAAGAATTTTATTGTTCCAAATTTGATCCGCAACATGATGGTTATTCTTTTCACTCTCCGGATCAAGCATTAATTCATCTATTCTATGCCAATTTAGTTTTAATTGGTAATTTTCCAAGTTTATTTTTTATCCCTTTTTTTTGCAATGTTTCTTCTCTTTTTTAAACTTCCTGATTTAATAGTATTTAATAGTATGCCCTTTATTGCAAGTACGCTCAAAGAAATTTGGATAAGTATCCAAAGTATTGTAATATTGAAATGTGATTGAAGTTTGATTTTGAACTATTGTAATATTGAATTTTGATACTAGAATAGAAACTAAAATGTGTAATCTTTGTGCTTATCTAGCCAGTTGATTGACAGGAGAAGACAAAAATAATGGCATCATTATTATAAACCAGATGTCTGAAAACATAGTTCACAATGATGATTTCTTCCTTCAACGAATTTAATAACGGCTGCATGGAATTCTTTATTCATTCTTAATTGCTCATAAATATGATAAACTGCAGAAAATCAAATATAATGGCATAATAAGATAGGCAGATCATATGAATACAGAAACATTAACTCAAATTATTAGTTTTTACAAGTATGTTCTAAATAAAAACGCAAAACCGAATTAATAATACTAATGTGCAGAAATTAGAAGACAAAGCACAAAATAAAGCGAATGTTTTCTGTGTGATATTAAGAATGTGAAATATGAATAGAACTATTTAAGAAACATAACGCTTTCTCTTTGTTGTGCTGTTAAGATGTACTACCAAATAAATAATGTCTTCGAGTTCCCATGAAAACTCAGTTTCCAAAGGAATTTTCAAAGTAACAAGATTTATAATTGTATGTATTTTAGTTTAGTATAATATTCGTGTGATTAATTAAAGGCGCTTAATAATATTTTTTAAACTAAACAAAATTTTAAATTACTTAACTTGCTCCTATGTTTTTATGAGCGGATAACTTCAGATATGGGATATGTTTCAGCTGGGTATTAGGAACGGAAAATTTCAACTTCTATATGGTGCCTGTTCAAGATAAAATCTTAAATTAAAATGTTTTTTCTTGATCTGAAAAGCAGGATTACCTATGGTAGCAGGTAAATCGAAAAGTAGTCCAACAGACTTCCAAGCAATTAAATTGCATTTCAGATACGTTACTTCAAAAGATAGAGATTAGATATCGCACAATCTGTAGGATTACTGGAAAACGAATTTCAAATACGCACATCGTCAAAAGTAAATGAAGAAAAAGGAAAGAAAGTATCTTTCTAGACTAATTTTTAAGGAAATAATATTTTCCTACAGAATCATTCATAAGATGGAAGTGTGATTCAGAACTTTCGACAATAATGTGTTTCCGCTTTAATGGAATACATTTTACAAAAGGAACGCCTGATTAAACTTATGGAAAATGAAATTTCAATACTGAATCTCACTTAGTCGATTTTCATTCAAAAATCAAGAAATAAAACTTTCAATATAGAATTTTAATTACAAAGGATCTCAAGAGAAAAATACATTATTATTAATTCTTTATATACTAACTTTGACAAGGAATGACATCTATACCTCTCAGATCATAAGCAAGTAGTCCAAGCGTTTAGCTTTGTAGCTCTTTCAATAAAATGTAAAGCATTTCTGAAGTTTTATTTTTTTTTAACTTACGATTTTGGAGTTTGTTTATGCACTTTAATCTCTACTTTTTAGATATTTAGAAATTCATATACCTCTTGATAACTGACTGACTTCTCTATTAATGTTCTAAAAGGCTTATTCATGAAGGATGCATGATAAACTGTCTTTTAGAACAGGGTCTCAAACTCAAATCGCGTGCCGGCCAAGTGCATGATCTTAAAGCAGCTGATTGGCCCGCTTTATTTTGAGAGGGGAGGAAGTTATGACAGAATGAAATTTTTCTCAATAAAAACTGTAAGCTGGTTTTTAACAAAATAAATAATGTTTAAGCTAATTTAAATTTCGGTTACTAAACACTTATCAATTGCATACACGATACTCATTATATTAACATAAAGGAAAAATTTAAATACCTATAAGACATTTCAGTTGGCTACATTTTTAATTC